AAGGGGGCAAAACATCAATTGGCTGGGCTATTCCATTTGAGAAAAAAGTGACATTTGGTTGAAATTAAAAAAAAAACAATAATTTTGTCATTTTTCTATTTATGTAAATAAATAATAGTTTATCTTTTATTTGCAAGGTACTCATTGACTTTTTTTCTTGCATATGATGTATTAAGGTACAGGGAGTACCTCCCTCTTTTTCAAAAGGGAGGGGAGTTTAGTGTGGTATGAGTGTGTGCAGGTATGTGTTAACTTGACACTGTGTGCGATGCACAAGTGTGAGTAAGTTGTCGTCTGTTGTGCATGGTGGTGTGTAGATCTAGTCACTTGTATTGCAGGAGAGATTGCGTATTATAATATCGTATACTCGATTCTCATTATATCGCGGGTTTCATTGTATCGCGGTATATTCAAAAAAGTCAGATACATAGCTCATTTGCTTTTTGTGTAAAAAACTATGAGTCTGTCATCTGAAATTAAATTTTTGAGATGATTAAAAACTATGGAACATGCGTTGGAAAAAAAATTATTCAAATAAAACGTAATTTTAAAGAAATCCATCCCCGTTTTTATTATTTTTAGCCCACTGAGTTTATAATCTAGTAAAATCCATGTAAAGTTCATGTTTGAAAGTCTTTAGTTCGTATAATTGTTTATTTTCTTATGTAAAATTACATGGTAAAATAAAAAATAAGAATTGAAGTCCATGTCAACGTCAAGGTTCCATGTTCTCCCATACCGCGATACTATGAGACTCTCCAATTTAGGAGGTAAATAAGACTTCCTGTTTTAAAAATAGACTACAAATTAAACGATGCAAGCTCCGGAAGTAATTTGATACTAAAAAGTTAGGCCATAGTTTGGTTTGTGAATATCATTTGATGAAAGTTAGATTTAAAAAATCGAATTACACTTTTTTATGCAAAAGTTTTAAGTACCGCGATATAATGAGACACCTGTATAAGTCTTGTATGATTAATGCTGAAAACAAATATAAACAATTACTATCATTGTCAGTTTATACATACAATACTTCAACATTCACTCAATCAGTATTTGGAGCACGTCGTTTATATATTTATTTGAACATCAATTAGATTATACATTACAGAGTCCAAATATTTTATAACCAAATTTTGTTTGTTTTGATTGTCTGTTGGAAATTTTCTTTGGTGAAATTGGGAAAACACATACTTTTTGCCATTATGAATGGAGCAAAAAACAGGCCCCTTCGACACCCTAAAAATGCCTGTCAGTAAAAATATTTGCATTATCAATACACAGTCTATTCAGGGCAAAGTTAACCCCACTTAGGATCTGATGTCCCAAACTTATGCAGAGTCTAAAAGCACAATACATTTTCAAACGATATTTCACTTTCTTGTTTTATGGATTAATTCACCTGTAGGTTTTAAGCTGTCCCTTTCCGCAGCTTAAAAATACTTTATCAACGTTTTATTAATACGTGCATCTGAATCTGACAAATGTTATTTCAAATAATGTTAACTGTTTTCCCCAACCAACTCACCTGACCGTCCACTGACGCCAAATTTGCTGTTCGCGCCACATGTCAAAATTTAAAACTCACAATTTCGATCCCGATGCAAATAAATTACAAATGCATGCAAGAAACAAATAATAAATTTATGTATTAATCCCCCAATTATAAAACAATTTTAGCAATTAATCTAGAATATGCTCTACCTCTGGGCAGGACAAAATATTTATGTCTCAAACCTGTCTTGTTATATAAGCGATATTGCTAGGTTACTGGAAAGGAGGGGGGGGGTCTGAGATAATTTTTTTTTAAAGAAATAAATGCGTTTCAATTTTTCATGTATTCGGTTGATTTTTATGGATTCTATTGCATTTTGAAAATGTGAAAAACCTCTTAACCGAAAGCCTTTTTTTTTTATTTTAATGCATATTTACAAGATTAGATGCGACGAATATATCCTGTCCTATTTATTCCCTTGTAACTACATTTCCCCTAAAATTGCAGACTATTTTGTGTCATTTGTAAAACTATCTACAGCTGTCTAAGGATATCTGGAAGTTATATCGTTTGACCACTGACCAGGGAAAATACCCTTTGAAAATGGCGGGGATGTCAAAATATACAACCTTCCTCAGAGAAATTAAACAAATTCTTAAACATTTTTTATTACAACAGCTTTAGAATATTTACCTCAATTTTTGATCATCTCTGGGCTCCTGTAATGCACTTTCGACTGAAAAATGTAATGAACTGATCTGAAAGTCGGCTGCGCAGTTACCTGTTACTGCTTTGTGAATTCAGTTGTGAATTATGTTCAAACATCATGCTCACGTGATTTAATTATGTATTCATCATTCATTACTCTACTGCGGTCATTAAATCGTGAAATGTGTATAAACTAACGCTGCGTGCCAAAATGATGTTGATTCTTTGAAACAATTATGTACATTTATTTCTAAAATTAATAGTATTGTCTGTTCTCCTTAACTTTCACCTTCTGCTTGACCCACTGTATTATATGTATATATGTTTTATATGTTTTTGTACCTCATGTACCATTTAATACATGGTTTTGAGTGAATAAATTGAATTGAATTGAATTGCCAGTACACAATTTTTTTGTTACATGTATATTGTAAATTTCAACAGAAAATCTTGTGCGTGGGTATTTTAATAAACTTTTTAAAATTACAGTCATGAATTACATTTATTAAATAATATACAGGTATAAACATACATTGTAGACGGTAAAATATTCATGAATATACATTGTACTTTAATATATAGGGTATATCAATCTATAATTGCTTGCATGCTTATTTTGAGTGCAGAATACCAAATTATAATTATATTAAATTTCAAGATTAAAAGCATGGCCTACACTCCCAATCATAGTAGGACAGAATAAATAAGCCAAGATTTTTCCTCAAATTCAATTTTTCTGAAACTTTGATATTTTGTTCTAGGATACAAAATCTCTCTTTATATATGATATGAAAGAAATTCAACCACACATTTTTTGCCCACATAGTCTGAAATATGGCCTATCATTTAGTAAAAAAAAGTATTTCTTAAAAAAAAAAGTGGTCCATCCGGGACCTGAACTCAGGACTTCTCACATGCGAAGCGAGAAACATACCACATACATGTAGATATTCATGTTCGGTATTGTCAAAATTTTACACAATCCATGGTGTTTGATTTATTTAGCCTTTATTAAACAGTTCTAATAGATGTAATAAGAACAAAATGTCCGCCGAGAACCTGTTTTATACGCAATAACTCTCCTCATGCCCCTTTGCTAAAAATAGCGACATGTAATACTATAAATACTAGTAAAACAAACGGGGCGGGCACTTTGAGAGGGGTGAGAGAGGTCCTAGGGAGTTTTGGTATAAAATTACATATCATAAGGTCAAAATCTTCTTGAAATATCGCCCGGAAATGATAGTGTTACACACAGACAGAATGTATAAATACGACCTTGAACTTTGACCTTTTGACCTCAAAATCAATAGGGGTCTTCATTAGGCCACAGGGAGTTGCTACGTAAAATTTCATTGCAACAGCTCAAATTGTTCTAGAGATATCGTGTGGAAACGAAAGTGTTACAACAGACAGAATTTGCTTATTTATGACCTTCACCTTTGACCTTTTGACCTCAAAATCAATAGGGGTCTTCTTTAGTCCATAGGGAGTTGCTATTCTAAATTTCATTGCAAAAGCTCCAAGGGTTCTCGAGATATCGTGTGGAAACGAAAGCGTTACAGACAGGTCTACAGAAAGACGGACGGACAAACCCAAATTAATATCCCCCACTTTTCAACCGGGGGACAAAAATACGAATTGGTGAAAAATTAATGGCATCTTTTAATTTTTTTTCTCAAGAACCACTAGACCAGGCTCCAAGGCCATAAATTGAGTACAGACTAAATCATAGTTTATATTAATTGCATTTTGCTGGGATAATGTTTGGTTTTTATCTTTTTTTGCATATTTATGTATAGCTAACTGTTCATCATGACATTCTGTGACAATTTTTACCTGAATAAAGTAAAACATAATTAATTAAGACTTGTAAATTAAGGCTGATCAATATATATGTCTGAACCGCAAAAGAGAATGTGATTCTTTATTGCAGAACAAACGAAAATTATTGAGTAAAATGTTTCTATTTGTAATACAAGTACATGTACATATTTATGCCACCCTTCGAAGAAATGAGAGAATATTGATTTGGTGTTTGTCTGTCTCTCTGTCGGTCCACCAACAGTTTCCGTTCATTTTCTTCGCAGATGTTGCACGTACTGAAATGAAATTTGGAATAAAGATTTATCGTGAGGACGTCTAGGTTAGGTTTGTTTTGGGTACGATCAAGCAATTTTTGACAGAGTTATGCCCCTTGGACTTACTGTAGGAAAATTTGATTCTTTTTGCAGTTTTTGTTCATTTTCCTAGAAGAAGTTGCACAAACTGAAATGAAATTTGGTAAACAGATTTATCATAAAATTATCTAGACCAGATTCTGTTCAGTATGTGAATGTTACATACATACATGTATGTAGACCTGTAGTGCAGGGATCTAAATTTCTAAAACCGAATATTTCAATTTATTTATTGAATTCATCATGTTGGTATACAGTCAAAACAAGAAATCAAATGACATACAACAGAAAAAAGAAAAAAAAATTATATGATAATTATTAGCAATACATTTTTACATATTTTTTTTTCTGCATGTAAAGCATTTATCTAAGTCATTACATAAACTTTATGCAGTATTATAATCACATGGGTTAACAAATTCTTTAATGGGATCAGTACCAATGTATAATTTATCATTAAAAGATATCACAATATTGAAATCGAAGATTGTCATACACAGGACAGTAAAGTACAAAATGTTTTTGATTTTCAACCAATAATAATACATTGGGTTTGAGATGTTCCCTATTTTATAAAAGCACTTCCTGTTCAACTCTTCATTGCTTGGAGTTACGAATGTGTGTTAAAGGTACATAACTCTAAAGTCAACCTTGGAACGTGACAGTTGTGTTGAACAAAATGCAAACGTGAGTTAGCCAATTTTACAAGAAAAATGACGGACAAATCAAAGAGGATAGGGAGATGGTATTTTGGAGGAGTAGCGAGTGCAATGGCTGCATGTTGTACTCATCCCTTAGATTTACTCAAGGTGAGTGATGCGTGTATTGATTTACAGCACTCTAGTCACTAAGTCAGTAGCAAGCCTCCCTCAGTCCCTGTGCAAGTGGCTGTGTTATGCGGAAATTCAGTATATCGTTACATGTACAATGCAGTATTTAAAAGCTGAAAATGCATTTCCAAGGATGATCGAACTAGATGAAAACCTGGCTATTATAGATTTTACATTAATTAATTAATGTAATTAAGATCAGAAACATGATTCAAACCAATAAATGTACACAGCAAATTACATCCGTGTTTTGTCAAAAAAAACCCCAAACAATAATGACACTCAAAGGGTCCCTTTGTACTATGATTAACAAGAGAGGCTTGATTTTAGTATGTACCGGGGTAGGATGGCTGAATGTTGTCATTGAGAATATGGAGAAACAAATAAATAAAAATTTCTTGAGTACAAAAAAAAGGAATACTGAAAACTTGACAAACATAAATGTATCTAAAGAGAAAAGCACAAATCTCATTTACATGACATTTTCATGTACACTAAGCTCTTTCCTGTTTTATTTCCCTGTAGGTACATCTCCAAACTCAGCAGCTAGAGAAAGTGAAGGCAACAACCATGGTTGTACGAATTCTAAAATCAGATGGAATTCTAGGTTTATATAATGGATTGTCTGCTTCCATTTGTAGACAGGTAATGGTATACTTAGGAGTTTACTGAGATTGCTAAAAAATCATTATTACTATTATACCTAAATTGTGGGTTCCATTACATTGCAGTATTTTCCAAAATTTGGGAAACATATAGCACATCTATTTTTATCATACTTTGAACTGTACATGTAAATGAAATAATATAAAAATGATTAACATCAAGAATATCAAAGCAATGTTTCTTCATGGTTATTAAACTGGAGTCTATTTTAATCAAAGATTTTCTTTGATTTAAGACTTCCGTTAATTTTATGCTTCTAGATTCTGATTAAATTATTGATTTTCTTGTAGGAAACAAGATGTAATAAATTTGAAGTAAATGACTCAAAACCTTCCAAAATTAATAATTTTGACTAAAAGCTAGAGATTATTAAAAGGGTTTAAATAAAGAATCTCTCTCTCTCTCTCCCCCCTACCCCCTTCTCCCTCTCATTTGAAAAGATCTAATACAATAAATTAAAATTAAATATTTTGGTTTTCTTGTTCACAGTTAACTTATTCCATGACAAGATTTGCTATGTATGAGACAGTTAAGAAAAGGTTGACTGCCGATGGAAGTACCATGCCTTTCTATCAGAAAGTACTCACAGCAGCCGTCTCAGGTGCCACCGGTGGCTTTGTAGGAACACCAGCTGATCTCGTTAATGTCAGGTGAGGTAAACTAGCTAATCTCGTCAATGTCAGGTAAGAAACATCTGGTGATCTTGTCAATGTCGGATAAGGAACACCAGCTGATCTCGTCAATGTCAGGTAAATATGGGACACCAGCTGATCTCGTCAATGTCAAGTAAAATAAACCAGCTAATCTTGTCCAAGTCTGGTAAGGTACACCAGCTGATCTCATTATTGTCAAGTAGATAAGGTACAGTAACACCAGCTGATCTCGTCAATGTCAGGTAAGATAAACCAGCTAATCTTGTCAATGTCTGGTAAGGTACACCAGCTGAGTTCACTATTGTCAGGTAAAGAACCCAGCAGCAAATCTTGTCAATTGTCAGGTAAAGAACAACAGCTGATCTTGTCAATGTCAGGTAAAGAAAGTGTAAAACTGTATCTGATGTGATATAGAAAAATCTGCATTTCATTATTCATCACATTGATGTTTGAATTCTTGAATTATGTTTACATTCTTTTTGAAAATCTTTGATTAGATTTTTTTTTCTAAATGAAAGTTATTCATGTAGTAATTTGAAATCAAATGCATGTAAATTTGCAGTTTAGTTGATTGTTATTTAGCTCACATAAAACTAATTGTACATTCCATTATTGTTTCATGGTATAAAAATTTATTTCTTCCCTGTGTATAAGTCACAAGAAATTCCTCAAACTTGTTAATTTTTGAATTTTTCTTTCTTTATATCTTTAGAATGCAAAATGATGTAAAGCTGTCTGCAGACAAAAGGCGAAAGTAAGTTTAATGTATTGATCTTCATTTTCTTAATGTTGTGAATGCTATATACAAAAGTAGCTGTTTCAATATCATTGCCCTTTAATATTCAGTTATTCACCATTATAGCTACAAACATGCCTTTGATGGGTTGTGGAAAGTTTACAAGAATGAGGGAGTTCCCCGCATGTTTGGGGGTGCAACGATGGCCAGCTCAAGAGCAGTTCTTGTCACTGTGGGGCAGGTATGGATAATGATGACTACTTTAAATTTTAAAATCAATATTTTGCATGCTTTCTCCCAGTATGTTGATATGTTTGATGATATCACTGCAAAAATTACTGTTATTTGACAGTTTATTTACAGACATATCCCTTGTCCAGCATTAGCGAATCGTTAGTTTTTGATCTGAATTTGACATAGAGCTGCATGTACTGAAAAACTGAAAAAATAAACTGAATACTCTTATATTATGTCAAGAAGGTTAAGTAAGCATGAATCATCTTTCTTTGTGATTAGTTGGCCTGTTATGACCAGATAAAACAAATGCTGCTGTTGACTGGGGTATTTGAAGACAACATAACTCTACATCTTTCATGCAGTACAATGGCTGTAAGTTACCAGAATTAGATTTAATTTGTTTATTCTTGAAATATTCATAGTAACCAACAAATCTCTAAGTGTGCTGTGTCTGTCAATTTGTATGTCCATGTTATGATGATCTTTTAGTTGGAGGTCTCTCCAAACTTCTAATTCTAAATGTAAACAACAGGTGTGTAAGTAATTGCAGTTGTTTATTACGGGAAAACACTCAATTTTTAGCAGTTAAAAAAAAAATTAGTTAAATATTTAAAAATAATTGATAAATAATTTCAACACTTCTTCCAATGAATTTAAATTTATATCTTAATAAAAAAAGTTCTCTTTCTCTCTTACTTGTACTAAGTACTAAATTTTACATTTCTATGTAATGATATATTTCAGGGCTGTATAGCTACACTTCTGACTCAGCCTTTGGATGTGATGAAAACTAGAATGATGAATGCAAAGCCAGGAACATACTCTGTAAGTTATGATGTGTTTAACAAGAAAAGTAGGTTGCAAGAATATTCATAAAAATAAAAGAAAAAAATGTTGAGATTTTCTTGTAAATGTCACTAAATGATAACATAGTCATATGCACACACATTAGCCTTTTAACAAAATGTTTTAAATAAAGGTAGATTTATATTTATATAAATTTAACCTAGCATTTATTTTTCTGTAACAGGGAATTGCTGCATGTGCCATGGACATTGGCAAAAACGGTCCTTTGGGATTCTTTAAGGTATAATCAAAAGCCTTCACTATGCTTTTGGGCAACATATACATGTGTATTTAAAATTTTAGTACAATGTTAGCTTATCTGGTTGAAGATTGTCTAGCATCTGTCATGAGTTGTCTATATCAATACCAGCCACAAGCACACTTCATTGGAGGTGATAAATATTCAAATAAAAAGATACACCCTCTTCAAGGGGAATCAATTAAGGAATAGAAAAATAGAGTGAATTCATTGAAACATCTCATGAACCACCAAATCAGAAATAACAAAATAAAATAACAAAATGTGACCCAGATGAACATTGTCTCTTCTTTCCTATTACAACTAATTCAAAATGCACATTGACTGTCATTCTGTTTCGTTTATAGTTTGTATCGATTAGATTTGTACGTGGTATTTTTTATATGACTTTTATACTGAGAGATGAAGTCTTTTTTTCAGGGATTTGTTCCTGCCTTTGTCAGACTGGGGCCACACACAGTATTCACGTTCATTTTCTTTGAACAGCTGCGACAAAATTTTGGAGACTTGCCGACAGTAGAAGAAAAGAAGATTTAGGTGTATTTTAGGAGACAAAATATGTATTTATTTTATACAAATGGACTGATGGACTGATTCTGCAATAATTTGTTCATGATTTGTATGAGTGGTCTATTTTTTTTTTTTATATATTAAGGAACATCTAAGATGTGGAATGTTCTTTTTTAAATTTTAAATTGTTGGGCAATTTTTTTCAGAAATAATATTTTTAATATATATTTTTTTTATTTATAAGTACCAGATATTGTTAATTTTATAGCATACTTTTAATAGCTGAGTTTTAGCAAGTATGCTTCAGTGTAAATATACTTACATTTGCTGCAGGTATTAAAAAGCTTTATATTAGTTAGCCAATGCTCAAATGGTTTACTTGAGAAACTCAGTGAAACGAAAGAAATGGAAATCCTTTTTTTTTTATCTGTAAATGATGTGAAGAATGTTGAAAGAATGGTGATGTATTTTTAAATTGTGTGATGATTTAGAAGATTTTGTTTTTATAAGATTTTGTGCCATGTGATAAGATCTTTAGACAAAACCAGTTTTAGTCATAAGTAGAACTTAAGGATAATGCTTTGAATTTTACCATGCTTTAAAAATGGCTTCCTACATAAACTATTTATGACGGATGTTCTGTTTTATGAAATGCTTTCTGTAGCAATTTATTTCAGTCTTACTTGAAAAGGTGTTCAATTTATTTATTAAAATTGCAAATACTTACATGTTGCAGCACACTATTTGCAAACAATATAAGTATAACCTACAAATGCATCCATCACTGCTTGGATTACACACCTTTTATTATCAAAAGTTGAAAGAGAAAGGTTTTTGATCTTTTGATATTAATATATGTCTCACAGTCTACTTACTAATTTTCTTATATTTTGGAATGATTATCGGGTTAAATTTAATCTTTTATATTAAAATATAAAGTATATGATTCATATATAATATGAATAAAGACATTCCATCTGTTAAGCCAGTGTACACGAATTTCATTATAAATAATGAAGTTATATTTAAAATGTTCAAAGCATAATCATTTTTACCAGGTTAGATAACTGGACAGTATTTTAAGTATAAACATTTAAAAAGGTATTGATTTGGTGAAGATAACATAACTTACATTATTGTGGATTCTGTCTGTATACATGTAGAGTTTATGGTTACAGGCTTGTACAATCATTATTTTTTTAAAATTTATTTTATTAAAGTGGCACAGTGACGCACAAAGGGGAAAATTGACAAATGTAGAATTTTCGCATGACCTCTGTACATTTTGTTCAATTCCTTAAAGTATTAGGTTTCAGAAAATTACAGGTTTCAGAGCCTAAAAATTAAATTTTTATGGGGAAAAAATAAAAGTAAAAATAATTTCTGTCTGCCCCAGAACGAAAATATTGCTAAATACCCTGGTACTTCTTCCTCCCTATTGTACGCGTGTGCAGAAAAGTGTTGAATAAGTTTCCATAGTTACCATGGTCTCAGGTATCCACGAATGAATATAAGTAGACCAAAAAATTTGATGTAATCTTTTTAAAAAGTTGTTAGAACATATTTCTCACCTTTGCATGCTCCAGTTGTATTTTGTTTACAAGTTTGAGCTAAAAATAAGAGTAGCGTGACCTTGACATATACGAAACAACGAAACGGTAGATACAACCTTTGTTTTTCAGGCACTTGCATTGTGCAGTCAATTCTTGCAGTTTAATTGTCATATCTTCGCTATATACTCATAATTTTCGTAAGTCTTTCTCTGTATGCTACAGATATCTTAAAATTAAGATATGATTTTGACTCACTGTGCCGCTTTAAAAAATTTATAACAGTAGTTTGCATGATATTGGAAGGAACAATTAACTTGCCATATTATTTTTATATATTTTAACTTTTCTTCAATGGTTCTTCACAGTTTTAATTTCTGTATATCGATATTGAATATCGACTTGAATAATGAAAAAAAAATGTTCACATGCTAAAGAAATAAATATAATAATGAAGGGAAATTTTGCTTTCTCCATCTTAAACAGGTCTTAAAATGAAGTTTGAAACTACGTGCATGGTAGTCTGATTTGTGTACATGTGTTATACCAAATAACTATAAATAATTAGGTTAAAAAAAAGAGGCTCAACTCCAATATAAGGATAAAGTAGTACTTTGACTGAAGCATTATTAACATATTCATACATCACTGTATATTGTAGCAATGTTATGGAGTTAATTATTTCTACATTCCACACATATGGATTTACTGTCGACCAGGGAAGGTTGACGGTTGACAGTTGACAATTCCCTTGTGTTCTAGTGTCGACCGGGGACAGGTCAACGGTTGACAGTTGACACTTCTCTTGTGTTCTAGTATCGACCTGGTAAAACAGGTCGACGGTTGACAGTTGACATTTCACTTGTGTTCTAGTGTCGACCGGGGACAGGTCAATGGTTGACAGTTGACACTTCCCTTGTGTTCTAGTATCGACCTTGTAAAACAGGTAGATGGTTGACAGTTGACATTTCACTTGTGTTCTAGTGTCGACCGGGGACAGGTCGACGGTTGACGGTTGACGGTTGACACTTCCCTTGTGTTCTAGTGTCGATCGGTGACAGGTCGACGGTTGACAGTTGACACTTCCCTTGTGTTCGGGGACATTAACCCTAATCACAGCTATAAATGCAAAACTAACCCTTATCACAGCTATTGATACAAAACTAACCATAATCACAGCTATTAATACCAGACTACAATAATAAACTTGTCAGCAATAAAATGATTAAATGTCAACTGTCCCCGGTCGACAGTAGAAATGATTAAATGTCAACTGTCAACTGTCCCTTATATTGGAGTCGACAGTAGTTGAACTTGTATTAATCACTACTTCTATATACACAAGCTTTCGCATAGGGACTACATACCCTTATATTGGAGTTGACCTGACAAATCCATTGACAAAGTAATGATATATATAAATGATATACAATATTTTCTTTAAACAATCTACATCTTTACTTTGTGATTCCAAAAGCGCTTAAAATAGTGCAGCAAATCCAAATTACTTGATTGTAGAGTTAATGCAATGATTGAATATTTTCCATTTCATAATTTACAGATTTCACATAAATTTCTTGATTTCTGGCCCAATGGTTAGTTCTTGTGATTTGAAGAAGTTATTTCCCTTGATTTAATAAAATTTGAATCTTCTTCACCCAAAGATACTTTTATCTGGAAAGCGTAGGTCAAATCCAGCATCAAAAGCAAGTCCAATAATGTTCATTTTTAGATGCATCATCCTTGCATGTTTGGTCAACATATAGGACTTTTAAGTTACTTTAGAATGAAACTGCTCCAGAAACAGATCTGGTCCTTCTTTAGCTGAAATTACAGCATCTGAAACCTTGACCGATACAATGAATCATACTAAAAGCATCTTCTATGCAACACTGACAAATGTAGGGCATAGAAGTACAGGGCAGATAAGGACTTTTAACTGGGCCAAAAACTTGGGATGCTGCCATCAAGAGTATCACATAAGTTCCCCCCTAACTTCATTGAGGTGACCTGAAAATTGAATTGGCAGTTTGTCTCTTCTCTGTTAACAACTGAGGCATAATTTGTTACAATCTGTGCCTTACAATTGAGGGAAAATACTGCACATCAAATTTCTGCACATGAATGGATAAACAGTTGGTCATATAAAATAAAGATGTAAAAACAACAAAACAATATAATCAGTCAAGAAGCAACACGCTTTAATGACACTCGTCAGATACAGTAGAAATGGTGGTGATAGGAGGCACCTAGAAATAGATCACTCTTATATACAAAAACAAAAAAAAATAACATCAACAGACATAGTGGGAATCAACAATATTAAAGATTTGATTTTTCAAAATATAATAATAAAACATCTAGAAGGCTTGAACAAATAGACTGAAATGTCATGAAAATGTTCACAAACATAACTACGTGTACATTCACTGATACATGTACTAAAGGCACTTTTATCTGATGAATTTGTACTTGATAATGTATAATAGGCACCAAATTTTAAGAAAAAAAAAATGATTAGCACTTATAGATCTGTTAAGGGCTTCAACAAAGTTTCTATGAAACATTTTTTTCAACAAATGTATATTTGCTTTTATAGTATTGAATTTAACTCTTCAACAAAAATTTAGTATTGAATTCTGCAGAGCCTATAAAAAATTTAGTTCTTAAAAATAAAACAAAAATATTTAAAAAATTTACAATAAAAAAAAAAACAGAAAGTGAATGTTTAAAATATGTAACAAATATTTTATATTGTTTTATTGAGCAATATTTTCTGCAAAATCTTGGCCATTTTGATTTTTTTTTTCCAGAGAGAAACAATGAAATGCACCTAATTAAGACATAGCATTTGTCATCCAAGATGCTAATAGAGATATAAAAGTCAGTGTAACATAAAATCTGTAAAAAAGATTCAATAGCCCTAATTCTACTGCCCAAACTGCACATCAGCTAAACTAAACAATTACACTGTCACATTCACTCTCTAAAAGGAGGCAGTTGCACATTTATAAATTTTACTTTAAAGAATTGTGCTTTTAAACAAATAAAAACTGGCACTTGCACTATTTCTTTCACACTAGAATAAAAAAAAAAATGAAAACATCCCCCATAAAAAATTGATCAACAATACATAAAAAATTCATAACAAATATGTTCATAAATAATACTGCATATATATCACATATATAATAAATTCACCTGAATGCATATATTGAAAAAAATATAAAGTAGAATTCACAGCATATATGGACGGTTTACTTAGAAAAACAAGTTTTCTCGCTTTCAAGTGGTTGGAATAAAAAAAATTCGTGTGATTCACCATTATTAAAATACATGTAATAGGTATTTTTCTCCTGACAGTTTTTAACTACCTATATAAGTAATAGAATTCAGTTTAATTTATTCCCACATTTGGCACAATTCCAATCCATGTACAGGATTACTAACATTTATTTGGCAATATAGTTTTCTCTTAAACACATTAAGTACAAAAAATATTGAGCTTATATAAAGATAAACTTGTTGTTAATGATACGTTACCATACACATCTATCAAATTTGGATAATTTTTTTGGACTTAACAATTTCATAAAACAGGTAACTGGGACCTGGCATAAATATTTATTATCACAATATCAGCTTAACGATTTGCAAATTTAGCTTTATCACATCCACAAATAACTGTAATACCACATCTAAATCACAGATTTTCCCCAGCAACACAATCAGAAATAAAACATCAAAGAATACTACAATGACTTTGTGATCAAGTAACAGACAAACTGTTGAAAGAATAAAGAGCACCAGTATTTGAATACAAAAACTGTTATCATTTTAAGTATTACAACATTTACAAGTAGCTGACACTTAAAATCATGAACTCATAAAAATGACAGAACAGAAATATTAAGATAGTGAAGATGAAAAAAGAATATTGCAACCATATGCACTTATAACCAAAGATAATAAGTTTACACGAGATAAATAGAACCTCTAACCCAATATAGCAGTTGTATGATAATAAAGGATAGGATATAGTGGACTACAAACTTTGTTAATTATTTTTGATTGGAGCTAGATCATAACGAGAATAAATGACTGATTGTCTAAGTGGTTTCATTATTCTATAAACAAACAATAAAATAATCTACCAAACAACTGGCTTGTACATTTCATGTATATAAATAAACCTATAAATATGGGGAATCAATTTTTATCTGCTCATAAGTTTTGTCAAGATTTGTTGGCACTTTCATCAGCCTTATAGGTTTGTTAAGGCACATATTTTTTTCTTTGTTCAAACAGAATATGTGTGTAGTGATCCTGCAGTAAACAAGTTTTGCAGTGTATCAGCTGTTCACACAAATTCATTTCCGTTCGGTAGTGGAGTTTTTTCTCGTTCTCTCCTCCATATCGTTTGGCATTATAAGTGAGACATATACCCTACAGGCATCCTACTGTGAACCAGATTTGTTTCACCTCACAATTGTAATGAATAACATTGGATATGTTAAATATGGTACATGGAATTGATGTCAGGTGAATAAAATGAAACTACAATGATAAAACTATAATGAATCCCTGAAGTGGTAGGTGATGAATGTCATCTAATAATTTAATATGGTCCTATCCATTTTGGGGTTTTTGGTATCACAATGAACCATGACTTCTTTTTCCAATTATTGAACACATTGGAGCACTGAAAATTTTGAAACACTTTTTGCTCAGTTATTCCATGCTGACCTCGAGGGCTTTATGCTTTTGAAAAAGTTATAAATAGATTTCCTCTCCCTCGAGCCCAATGGTTTTGCCTCTGATGTATTATCTGTGGCGATTCGACCTCCATCACTGAGAGGTCGCCGACCTTTAGGTGCTGTAGGTTTACTGGGACCACTAGCACTACTTGAGGGTTGAAGGTCACTTTTCCCTGGTAGACTCTTCTGAGTCATTGTCCTGTGGGGCACCTTTGTCACTGGCCTGCCCCGTTCTACTGGGGGTGTCTCCTTCCATTGAAGAAGACCTTGTCTCTCAGATTCATAGTTCTTAAGGCGACTCTGGAAACCCCATTCATCTACTTCCTTCTGGGTTTTGGCAATCATATCATCTTCCTTCTCATCCAAGAACTCCACCTGAAAAATAAGCAATCCTGTTAATGCAGATGCTACCTTCCTACTTTTTTTGTGAAAACAGTACTAAATACAGAGGCTATTTTGCATCAGACATGTCCTTTTTTACAACATTTTTAAATATCTAGATTAATGTGTATACAGACCCTTCTCATTGTCTTTAGAAGGTCCTCCCATTTAGCTGACAACAGACCTGCTGCTGACATGCTTGACTTGACAGGAACAGGAAGGGGTGTGTCCTCCACCTCACCATAGGAACGGTTAGAATGACTAGTAGAGCATCTGTCTGACACTGATCGCTGCCCCGCAAAATGAACTCTCCTGGTTTTCTGT